AAAAGTCTTCATCATGTGCGGCACAAAGATTTGTGTCACAAGTTGGGCATGATTGACATCTATGCTCCAACTTGAGGGGGAGTGTTGAAATAATTTAGTTGTTGGTGTTAGGGTCTGTTTGGCTAGTTAAAGTGTTTTTTATTTCTATTTTTTCACTTCTGTTATGTCTGTTATTGTACTCACTTATAGCAGGGGCACAAGGGTCTTTTCCCTTCTTATTTCTGCCGCCCTATATATATATTATAATAAAAGCTGGCACCGCCAGCACTGTTACATTGCAAATCCCTTCTCTCTTCTTCTTCTCTTCTCTTCTTCTTCTCTTCTCTTCTCTTCCTCTTATTTCTGGCCGGCCATATTGTCAAGAAAACTTAATGGTGGTAATCTGGAAGGAGCTTTTGTCTGTCACACTACCAGCCCCTACAAGTCCTTCCCCGATTGATTTAGATTCATTTCCCATATTCTCCTTCCTGACTGAGCAAAAATATCACACTTCCCAGCACTTTTCTGATAAGAGAAGTGATTTCCTCTTTAAAAAATAGCAGTCAAGCTGAAACCAATCGGCTGCAGCACAAAACTGGTCGTTCCAGCAAGGAAAAAACCTAGAAAACAGAGGAGAACACAAGAGAAGTTCCAGCCGCAACTTCCAGAGACTTCAGAAAGCTCTCCACTTGCAGTCGATCTCTAAACAAATAAAAAAACTGCCCAGAAAATACTGAGCACCACTTTGGCCTGAGGTTTAACCCCTAAACCTCAATCGAACAAGTCTCTCTGATTCCTCCTGGTCACTGGGCAAAACAGAAAACAGGGAGGTGCAGAAACAGTGCACCGAACTCCACTGATCTCCAAGAATCAGCCAAAAAAGTTTGAAAACTCCAGCTCTAATGGAGTCTCATGTAGCCGGTTGGGCTAAGCATACATGAGACCTAAACCAAACCTAAACCTGCTTTGATACCAACTTGAAACACAACTGCAGCAGTCCTAGGTTAGTTCGAAATCTGTTCAAGAGAAGAAAAGAAGAAGAAAAAAGGAGAAAAGAAGAAGAGGAGAGGAGAAGAAGGAATGAGAGAAAGAGAGAGCAGAATGAATTAGTTCTGCTGCCCCCCTCATTGGCTTTTATATTACTTGAGAAAAATAAGATACAGTGACAAAAATACCCCTGTCAGCTGTGACAGAGAGAAAAAAACAAGTACAACAGTCTGAAACAAAACAAATAAGGTATCCCTAGAACATATAGAACCAACTAGGTATCCCTAACTACATCTCTACAACTATCAAAAAAAGAGTGCCTTATCATCTAGGTGTCACCTTGACAACTATCCTATGCACATGTAGTGATGAATATTAACAAAGATGGGTTGGTGGGATTCTATGCACAGAGTGCACCATTATTTAGATAGAACTATGCAACTTATATAGTCATCTCTACCATGTAGAGATACCAATCTCTAGCTATCTCTTGATTGTTGGAGTCTCTATACAAAGTGAACATCCTTTCTATGGCATTTAAATTTATTTGTATTTTATATAATGTTACTTTTACCATGTAAAGATGCTTCTATGATTCTATCTGATTGTCTCTTGATTTCCAGGCTATTGAAGATTTGACCAAGGCATTGGAGTTTGAGCCAAACTCATCAGATATCTTACATGAAAGGGGTATAAATGCTCAGCTCATCTTTCCTGCACCATCATTTCACATTCTTTCTCATGTACTTAACCTTTTTGCTTTCCCTGTCATTTTCATAATGTATTGAAGAAGATATTGGATTTGAGGATTATGGGAGAAGGCACTCCTTTAACTGTTGTTGTTATTGGTCATTTTTGTTGTTGATCTAGGGAGCAAGCTTGCTAGTAAGGTTGTTTTGTGAAGAACTCTAAACAAACAAGGAGTCTTCCACATGGCAAGAAGCTTTGGGGCCAAAAGGAGTTCCAATGTTCTTCTCCCATCCTTTGTAAATTTCAGCTGCAAAATACTTATGTCTTTAATATAGTTTATTCTTTTTAGGAGTATTTTAAGTTGAAAAAGGTTGAAAGTTCAAGGGTATTATTGGATGGAGTAAAGTCCAATACAAGGTGAGGTGAAGCCAATGTGGTATGCTAGCAAATTCGACCATGTTGTGGAAATAGGTGGAGTTGCCTAGGTAGTTTCACTACATAGAAGGCTCACTTGCATAGAAGACCACTCAAAGCACCAATGAGAAATGTGGTTCACAATTTTGATATTGATGGACATTTCATCATGTAGAAATGAAGAAATATTAGGGATTTCTTGCTGATTTTATTAAGATATCTAGAAAATCTAGAGAAATTGGAGAAAGATGCCTAAAGCATAGATGGTTTATTTTCCTGTGCATCTTTCTTTGGTTTGCTCACTCATATTAATCCTATGGGGGTAAACTTTCCAGTGAGAGAAATTTGGACTAAACCGATCCCTCCAAAAGTACAAGCTTTCTGTTGGGAAGTGTTCCTAGGGAAGGTAAACACTTGTGATGTGCTACAGAAAAGAATTGCTTCTCTCCTCATGTGTGTGTCCTTTGTTTGGGATGTGGTGAAACTCTAACCCACTTACTATTATCTTGCTCTTTTGCTTCTGGTATTTGGAATGTTGTTTGTTCTCTCTTTGGATGCAGATGGGCTCCCCCACAGGATGTGGTAAGTCTATTCAGCCCCTCTTTCCTGTGGCAACAGAAGAAACAGGGGAAAATGCATATGGAAGGCAGTGAGAGAAGCTACAGTATGGACTATATGGGAGGAAAGAAACCTAAGAATCTTTTCAGGAAAAAGCAAAACAATGGAGGAAGTTATTGAAGCCATAAAAATCAGAACTGCACATTAGGTGAAGAGCATGGAGATATTCAGAAACTACTCCATGAATGAGATACTAAGAAATTAGGCTGAAATAGCACAAACAGATGTACCCAAAGTTCTTGTAAGCATGGAATGGAAGCCACCAGCATGGAACAAACTAAAACTGAATTTTGATGGGAGTTCTCTTGGCAACCCTGGAAGGGTAGGCATTGGGGGTGTGTTTAGAAATTATCTGGGTGTGGTGGTGGCACTCTACTCTGGACCAATAGGTTATGGTGACTCAATACAGGCTGAATCTCTAGCCCTACTTCAAGGTCTAAAGATGGCTGAG